TCTTTCTATAAGGAATATGTTTCCCTTGAATATTTAAAAATTTTCCACATCTGAGCAATGTCTCCAAATAACTCAGCTGCCCAATTCACAACAGACAATTCTTGTTGCATCCCTTCAAAATTTTCTTTTTTGAAACTTGTAACCAAAATATCATTAGTCCTTAACTCCATATACAGCAAAACACTGAAACTAATAAAGCAATGATCACTTGCACCCAGATGTTCTCCAGTTTCCACCCTCTCAATCATTTCTATATTTGAATTTAACAATAAATCAAAAATAACATTGTTTCTAGTAGGTTACTTGACTATCTGGTGAAGAAAGTCATCCTGAACAGTTTCCAATAACCTTTCTCCCTCATAGTTTGACTCTAGAATTTCCCAATCTATATGCCTGAAATTAAAATTGCCCATAATTATGACTTTAATTAACAGCTGAAATCTTAATCTCATTGTAAAGTTTCTCACTAATTTCATCAGCATCATTTGGTGGTCTGTAACAAATTCTCACTAAAAGCCTTTTCCCTACATTTAACCATGTTTCAGTTATTCCCATTATATCAAAATCCTCCATTCCCACCAGTGCTCTAAAGTCATCTATTTCATTTCTTATACTTCTAGCATTACAATAGTAACAATTAAGCCTATCCTTATAACTACTTCTATACTCATTTCCTGTGCTAAACTTTTCTCTGCCTCTTATTCTTCTTGCATTTAGTTTTTCCTGGCCCTTAACACTGTCTAGTCCTAGTCTAAAACTTCCTGTACAGCCGAGTTAATAGCCATAGCAAACAAGCCAGCCCCTACCCTATTTGAATGTAAACCATCCATTCCAAAAAGCTCCTTATTCCAATGAACTGATCCCACAAGTCCAACCAGCCAATCTGCTCATCCTTACATACTAACCTATGCCTAGCATTTAGCACTAGTGATCTACTTATAACTTCATCCCCACAGTTAATTCTGGGCAGTATCTGTAACAAAATTAAGTTATGGCCTTTTTCTTTAAATACATTTATCAACCCCCTTGTACTTATTAATTAGCTCCTCTGACCTACCTTTCCCTACATCGTTAGCCCCTACATATACTACAAAAAACTGCATCTGTGCTAGCCCCCTTTATTATATCTCCTGCTCTGTCAATGAAAGGAAGAAATTGCCAGCTGAACATAAGACACAAACTTCTTGTGAACTAAAGCCTGTACTCCTCCAGCAGACATTGTCGACCCAGAGACCTGGTGACTCATGTCACAGGAATTTCCTCATCCACGATATTAAATCTCAAATTTGTATGAACAAATCAGAATTTGGAAAACAGAAATATTTCTGAAACAAACAAGTAGAAACAACAGAAATCGAACACAAAAAGTGATATAAACTTGTGAACAAGCACAATCAAAATTTTGTAATTACATGGAGAGTGAGTTAAAACACGGGTCTATACACTAGAATGCCAACTGAGAAAGTGAGGATTGTTCTATAATAGTAGAGGGAACTAGCTGTGCCAGTATAGATGGTGCAGTACGATTGGTGGAGAGTAGTCACATGATCTGCATGTTCTGAAATGGTGCAAAACTGATGGGGTATAAAGACCGGTGTGCTGTAGCAAAATTGTTTTTAGCAATGCTTAAAGGGCAGACTAGGATCAAGATAGCTTTGGAGTTCTTTGATTTCTGCACTTTTGAATTACAGTGTAACAGTGGACAGTTTCTTTAATGTGCCATTGATGCTTTAAAATTCATGGATCCTTGACAACTTAACAGTTTCATATTTAATTTCTGTATTGCATATTGGCGTATACAAGACATATTAATACCAGTAATAAATGACCTTTTGACACCAAATTTATTTTTCTTTAACTGGACACTCAGCATTCCATCGTAGTTGTGAATAAATTCTTACATCAAACTAATTACTGCACAAAACAAAACAAATCTGTATTGGGAAGCATTTATGGATAAGTTTTTAATAAAATGTTTTGTGTGGAAAAAACATGTAATGAGTGAAGTAAGAGAAAAAAAAACAACAACACATTACCCCTACATTTACCTACTTGATTTAAAGTGTCCATAAGCACTGATCTGTATGTTATTGCACCACATAAAGTCAACAGGAGCCAGAAAACAAAAAGAACTCCTGATGTTTGCATACCCCGTTTCTTCCCTACTAAGATTAACACCAATGCCAGCATCTGTATCATTGAAAATGATAAACTTTTTTTACATATAACTTCAAAAATTAACAAGTTGTGAAATTAAGTCTTTTGGAAGGAAACTTATATTTTCACGAGATATTTTACACACTAAAAATGCTAAGTGTAAACACTGTACATTTTAGCCAACAACACTCGAAAAGTAGTTTCATGTAGGATCATAAAGTAAATAAAATGCTAAAGAACATAAAACTCAAGTAGTTTCAAATGACATAGCTTTCACTAGAAGAGAACATTTATATCAATTATGTGTTATTAAACCATCAGTTTTAACCATAAAATTACCACTTAAGCCACTATTACCACTATTAGTCATTTTCCTAAACTATTTATGTGGGACTATGACTTTGCTGGTGACATGGTCCTTAATAACACATAATGGACCATACAAAAAAGTTAATCAAAAATAGCATCAATATTGTAATTAATTTCACTAACTACTGCTGTTTTTTATATATAAACAATGAGTGATTTTACCCAGTTTTGGTCAGATCTTTACACTGAGTGCTGTAAGAAGCACAATATATTATTATTCAACATGATGCAATATGTGGACCTCATCAGTAATGAACAGTATACAACAAATTGGTAATTTGATGTTTATCTGAACATGTAGTACAGGAAGAAAAAAAATATACTGTATTTCAGAGTATACATAAACCAGATGAAGCAAAACAAAACAAGTTTTATTCACTAGAAAAGAACTTACCAATGTTAAAGCCTTTACTAACGGTGAGTAGTAGTCTACTGGAAACACTTCCCACCCTGAAGAATAAGCTTGCATACTCTGAACAAGTTCTGCCATAGAAAGGCAGAACAAAATGACCAGAATTACCTGAGAAAATAAATTCTGATTTAGCACTTAACAAGTTTCATGAAGACAAGAAAATATTGACTCCAATCAATGAACAGTACCACTGAACTGCATAACAACATAAAATCATTACCAGTCTATTTAACAGAAAACTGATACACAGTCATATCAGATACTTTTCTTCACTTATCAGCAACCTCAATAAGCCAAAGCCATAAATGACTATATATTCATGAGTATAATTTTAATATTTCTAGTAGACGAACTGGACAAGTAAAATGAGTTAGACCACTACACATTATTATTTGATATATAGAAATACATGGAACTAAGTTATTTTACAAAAGCTATGGTTGTCCAATAGTAAGGTATACAATTGTACAATACTCACTATTTTGGTGAGATTTAGCAGTGACCATGGCAAGGGTGTGTGATGACTTTTCTTTAAAAAATGTGCCTCTAATGGAGAAAGCAGCCACAAAAAGCCACATGGTATCCATACTAACACACTGTTTTGAAAGCATGATGTAAAATCTGGTGTATTAGAGTACCAGATCTCTTTCAGATCCTGTGAATAATGAAATGTAATGAATACCTTAAGCTAAACATTCATGAGTGTGAATGTCACATTTTAGATACTTGCTACAGTACATCATGTTAAAACATATTTAATGATACTTCTAGTGAACAAAGATAATATTAAACAGTTTAAAAAGGTTGCATCAAATATTCTAAACAACTTATTGTTTAATTTTGCAAACAAGTTACAGTCACTACCTTCCCAATTATCATAATTTACTTTAACTCTAGCCCAATGATTACCACCATCCACTAACAATTGTATCATGAACTCGTAATCTTTTTGTATTACTCACAATTTGCTTTACAAACTCCAGTTAATCAACCAAACAACAATCAAAACAAAAACTGTATGCTAGTTGCTAAATAATTATCTGAAGGTCATAACTGCGATGGTTAGTAATTTCATTTGTTACTGTCCTAAATTTCCGAGTACTACATAGCTGTTGCAGTCAAATGCCACTTACTTTATTATACATATTGGCCAGATAAGCAAATATTTTTAACTGAACTGGTAAAGTTGCATGCATGCTTTCCTATATGATCAACATGTATAAAAGAAAGACAGCAAGTTTTACTAAATATGATCCAAACGTTTACATAAGATACTTCATTCTTAACAGTTCGGAATTCTAACTTCAATATTGGGCAATAAAATCTTAAATAACAAAAAATTAAACACATGGATTATTACTAATTACAATGTATGAATACCACTAAAACAAGTAATGTATGATATCAATAAACATCACCTGTTTATAATTAATCACTTATATTCCATACAATTTACTGATTTCTGAAAATGTAGAAATAACATATACTCTGTTTAGGCAAGTATCTTAAATTTGGCTATTAATCTATAGATTCATTATTTTAGTGGTTATTATATCTCTGTGGTGAAGTAATGAATCAACAACCTGTGCTTACTCACTCAGTTTATTACAACTTAAAGTTGTATAGTTGTAAAGTTGTGGTTATTATATCTCTGTGGTGAAGTAATGAATCAACAACCTGTGCTTACTCACTCAGTTTATTACAACTTAAAGTTGTATAGAAATTAATCTTAGTAAGCTCTAACTTGAATATAAATAAAAAAAATGCAGAATGTTTAAGTCAAGCACTTCACAATTTGAAGTTCAGTTAACAAATATTCCTCCAAATTAAGGAAAATTGCTTTAAATTCTGATTAATTTCATGGAAGTAGAAATTTCTCTATTCTTCTTTTGCCTTTATCAGGTGAATGAAATAAAAAAGGCTATTAAACATTAAAATGAAATTTCAACGTCTCACACAATTACAAAATCATCATTTAAAAGATTTTATGAAAAATTCCAAATCTGATTGCAACTACCTTTTGTACAAATTTCACCTGAGTAAATGACCCTCTCTGTTAAATAAATTAAGCAATGTTTACAATGTCATCAATATTTTATACACAAATTATCACTATGATATAGCAATAAAATGTTAAGCACTAGTTAGACAAACACGAGAGGTTGAGAATATTCAGTCTTTTTTTTCTCTCCTCTCAAGACCTCTTCCAACATTGATTAGTTAATGCATATTACAACCATGATATAGAGTTTGAAAAAATGAAGTAATGCATAATGATATATATATTTTGAACATATTTTCATGTTGAAACTACCTCTATACTGCTAAAACTAGAATATAAATATAGAACAAAGTGGAAAAACAGTGCATCAGTAACAGAGCTATACCAATATATTCAATGATTTAAAACTGCAATACACTTGTGAAAAATAACCGCCCAGAAAATTCTTTTATTACAAACTATGTGATACATAATAAAATGGAAAACCCCACAGCCTACATGTTCAAGCCACAATATCTATCACACCCCTTGATTTATAACATTAACAGATGGAAGTTTCAAATAAAAGGATATGGAAAACCCCACAGCCTACATGTTCAAGCCATTATATCTATCATACCCCTTGATGTATAATATTAACAGATGGAAGTTGCAAAACAAAAGGGTATGGAGATAAGTTAGTCACAGTGAATCCAAATGGTGCTACTATATAGTATGGTCTTCAGAGATACTATCATCATCACCATTTTAACTTTAGTTTATTTGCAGTTGGCCCCATTTATTATAAATAATGCTTTTAAACTAATAAAGTACAAAATAACATTACATAATGTTTTTGGAACAAATATAATCAAAATGAAATAAATTCTGACAATTAAAACTAGAACAATTATAACCTAAATTTAAGGTACTCTTTTTGGAACACACAACTTATTAAATTATTATTATTTGCTGAACAAAAACATGAAGAGATATAAAACATTTAGCAAGAAATTATGTTTTAGTGAATCATTAAAATGGTAATGATGACAGTATCTGTATAGACCGCATGCTATAGTAGCACCATTCAAATACTAACTACATCCTGTTCAGTTGATGACATCAGCAATAATTAAAAGAAATTGTTCAAGCTCCATAATTAAAATATTTGATGGTTAATTACGGATATATACGATGATAGACATAAAATTTCTGAAATGATAAAATGTCAACTTGGTTTCTCCATTAGCCACCAACCAGAAACAAAGTATATCTCGCATGTTAGATGTTTCAAAGTCAATACTTTCACTCCAATGTGTAATGTGATTTCAGTTTATAGTGTTTTGTATCCAGGTGAAAGGAGAGCTATTTTACATGACTGACACTAAAAACATTTTTTGTCTGAGATATGCTTATCTCACCTTCTCTCTTTTATTGGTACAATGGAATCAGGTATATCACAATGAAACTAATAAATCACATGACTCCACTACCTAAGAGAATGAGATAAAAGGTTGAAAGACAGTATTTTTTATTAAACGTTTTGCTCAAAGATAAGCATACATAAGTGGATTTGTAACATGTACACTGTAAAGACATTAAGATAATTATCAGTGATTCAAGTACACATACACTTCTAAAATTTCCTATCTCAAGTAATACTATACAGCCAACCTACTAATGACATCATGTCATGTGAGTTGATCTTAACATGTGCTTTCTACAAACTGACGGCTCACTGAAATAAAGTCAAATAACTATCAGGTTTAGTCTAGGTATACCAGGTAAAAACAAAATCTTGATAGTGTTTAACTACAACTACATAAAACTTCTAGAAGTAACTTAAATGGACATTTTGAAGCATCTAAATCAAATAACCAATATGACATAACTCTATTAGATATAAATTACTTTACTTAAAAAATATTTATTTTTGCAAACTTTGAATGTGGCAAAAAAAAAGTCAGGACACATGGAGTGCTGGAATCAATTTATTCGAAACACTGCCTATATTTAAAACAATGCTTAAGTACTTTATTTACTGACAAGCCACTAAATAATGTGGTTTTATTCAAGATATAGTCAACTATATTAAATTCTGGTATGCTTAACAAATAATGGAAATGAAACTGTCAGGAAAAAAAAGTATAGTATGAAATCAGGGCCTACAGTTTTAATTTTCAAGAACTTTTAAGTACAAGAATGAACCACAGTTCAAGTACTTAAACTCAACACATTAGTTTCCATGCTGTTACAAACTGTATTAAAAAACATATTTCACATATAAACTGGATACTAAAACTATAATAAGTAACTCAAAAAACCCTATGTAAAATTATGCAAGTCTAATTATAAAAATGAATTAAAAGGTAAAAGACCTTTTCATCAAACATCCATGAAAGATTGCTATAGTTTATTTTGTATACTTGTGGTTCTTACATAACTGCCACTAAAAATGAGTTGAAGGATCAACCAAGCATATCCGAGAAAAGTGATATGGGTATATATACGCTTGCCTGTAATACACTGCTTTTTGGCAGTACAAATGTGAATACATTCACAAACTGAAAAAGCTTTGATACTGGCTTGTTTTAAGACACAATGTGTATTTCTGAAATAATATAAAGTCTTCTGTGCTAATTAATTGGATTAATTCAAAATTTTCGTTAATAAATAAGTAAAAAAAAAGAAAAGCTTCATGAGAATACATTTGATTTTGTTTATGAAAATGAACAATGAAATTAAATCTTTCATTTCTATAGTCATAGATTAAAAGAACTCTCCTAGAACCAGGTTTATTTTTAGATATACAATAAAAAACATAATAACACACATATTAATATTACATGACATATCTGAAACTTAAAAGTGGTAAATCTTAGAAAGTGTATGGAATACTTTTTCTTCATACTGGTACAAAATTTCAAATTCACATGTGCCTAATGTCACAATTTTTTAAGGCTAAAAGAATGGTTACAGAGCAAGTCCCATACATGCATCCATGCTCTAGATGAGAATACATGATACATATCCCTATGGCAGCAAAAGAGTTAAGCCTATTATAAATTTTTCAAATTTTGTAATAATTCAACAAATACAGTTAGTGCATAGTGACTACATGAAAAAAGACTTTGGTTTCAATCTCAAGTAAAGAAAGTTTAATAAAGAGCATGTATTATCATTTTTTATTTACTATAGTGATATATACATAAATCTATAGCCTTCTGATGCCAGGTTGATTATACAGAAAACCGTAAGAATAATGAGGTAATACATTTAAATTGTTAAACCTGAATGGGCTTAGGCCATTATCTGTGACCTTGAAGAATTCAACATGAACAAGCTTCATAATCTAATCAATCAAGCTACTGACCAATATCATCAGATTTCCAATAGATACACCATCTCCTAAATGGACTATTTCTTGAAAAATAATAACAAAATGTGTTTAAACGCTATTATATATTTCTTTTGTAGCTTTTGTAGTATGTTATCTGATGAAGATGTTTACACTGAAAGTTTGTACAAGTTTCATGGTGAAAATTTTAACTTAAAAAACAGAATAAAACTAATATGAGACAGACAGCTAGACAGCAGTCATTCAGCTTGTTGTATTAGTTCTAATGTATAAAAATTTCATTAAATCTATCACCTACTTCAATGAATCTTCAAAAGCTGTAATTGCAAGCTAAATATTTCATTAATTAATGGCTAATTTGTTTATAAAATGCTAAGTTTCTTTCACAACAAGATACAAGTAGGCTAAGTTAAATATTCTTTCACTAATTTTAAATATAGTGAGATTTTCATGGAGAACTTATTCACACTAACCAATTCTTACACAGACTATTTTCCTTAAGATTAACAACCATAACACCCATTTATTTTCACTAAATATACTTACACATACTATTTTCCTTAAGATTAACAACCATAACACCCATTTATTTTCACTAAATATATTTACACATACTATTTTCCTTAAGATTAACAACCATAACACCCATTTATTTCCACTAAATATACTTACACATACTATTTCCCTTCAGATTGACAACCATAACACCCATTTATTTCCACTAAATATACTTACACATACTATTTCCCTTCAGATTGACAACCATAACACCCATTTATTTACACTAAATATACTTATACAGACTAAAAACCATAACATCCATTTGTTTACACTAAGTATAATCTTTCATATTGATATAAGTGTCTAACAAAAGTTTAAAATAAATTAAGGTAACAATATACAGAACATCAGGCAAGCTATAAGTGTAAAAAGCTAAAAGAGAAATGGACTCTCCTAATAAATACATGTTATTTTTATTACTCCTAGTACAGTCCCTACTTACATTCTCGTTTTTCTACTGGAAGTGTTCTTGACATAACATGATTCATGTCTGTGGATATATGATGGAAATGCAAACTGTTCCTGTTGTAATCATCTTTGTTCATTGTTTACTCATTTGCAAAAACCCATTTTAAAACAATTATTATAAATCTAGTAATTTAAATGGTAAATATTATTATTAAAAAAACCTTAGTAACAATAACTTAAAACCTTCACAGGGAAGATGATTTTAATGTTGTTTTAATGATATTAAGTTACCGTATTTTTCGGAATATAAGACACATCCTTATTTTGAAGACAAAGTTTTTGGGAAAAAAAGCTACAGTCGCATTTGAAAGATTTTTATTGAACAAAAATCAATTTGATACTTTAAAAATTAGTATATATTGTTCTAAACACAAAAGAGCTCAAAACATCAAAATAAGAAAATACCATACATCAAAAAAGGTTTACTGTTATTTAGTTTGGTTCCAAACCTATAAAATCTTCATTGCTTTCACTGTAATTTATTTTTTTATTATTTGGGTAGCATTATAAATAGTTACATTTTTAAAAGAAAAACAACTATTGTTATAAATAACACATTTAATTGAACTAAACTATGCATGCCTATTTAAATATATTTACACATGAGTTGTGTATATCGTATATATATATACATATATATATTATTCATACCTTCGGTGTATAGGACGCAAGCAGATTTTGACATCAAATTTTGGGGTAAAAAAAGTGCATCTTATACACCGAAAAATACGGTACTAATTTTTTTAGGTCTTAAAAGTATCATTATAAATCGCCCATTTTCAGGTGATTAGGCATACAAATTTTCAGCAGTCTAGATGAGTTCTGGAAAGATAAGACTAGAAATAATAATGTGGATTCTAGAAGTTTTATTTCACACTTTTCTTAAATGTAGGTACTTTGTGTGTAATTTAGATAACAGGGTTCTTTCAGTTTTGTTAAGTAACTTTATGTACAGCAAAAGGTTCATGGACTTTTTTTTTACCTCTGTGGTTAATGTTCTACTGCAAAAGTCAGGTGGCACCACTTGTTTTTTATGTTCTAATTTTATCAATATTTTCAAAATTGGAAAAAAGCCAGTGTGTTTATAAATGTGTAGTGAAATGCCAATTTTTTTCTTCATAATCTGATTAAGCTACAATTAAAATAACTTCATACAAAAAAAAAGATTAAATTTCCCATACTAGTATATAAACTGACTTACCCAAAATGATGAACCACAAAAAGTTTCCATTATAAAGTATTTTTGACAACGTACACTTAACTTACAGCAGCTAGTACTATTTATTAGTTATATTACTTAAGTTTATCTACTCTTAAACAACTGTAATGAACTCAAGATCTCCAATCTTCAAGTAAGAGGCAACCTAGACTATATACCAACAGTATGTTTGTTGAATCTTGTTTTATCACCTTCAGACCCAGTTCTATGGTTCTGTACAGCTTAAGGGATATGTGTTACTTATATATCAGAAATTCTGGTGGTGATAAGGTTATCTATTTGTTACACCATGCACTGTCTTTAACAAATTTTTATTACCTTGTTATCTTATAACTGTACAGTAATATGAAGTAGAAAAATAACTTGAAAAAACAACAACAAAAACTCAAATTTTATTGCAAGTGCAAGGTTAGGATTTATGGTAACATGTAAATAAAAACCTACTTTGTTAAATTTTTTTTACTCAGTTTGGATGTGGAAGCATTCAAGGTTTAAGAGAAGTTGCTAACATACATATCAGAGAAGGGAAGAGCTTTTTCCTCATGTTGGTCTCCAATTATGTAGATTGAGAAAGTGTTTGGCGAAACATTAAATGACTGCAGTGTAATACTGAGGATTATAGACATGATGCTGGGGTATTTCAGCTTAGCTAATGAAAGACATATGAGGGGTTAAACAAAACTTTGCTATTTTATAATAATACTAGAAGTATCTGTAAACTGTTGGAATTAGAAGCTTTGGTTGATATTAACAAGTGTGATATCTGAACTAATGAATCATGCTTAAGAACAGTGCTCCATATAAGGGGTGTACCAGAGTAATTTCCAACCAAAAATCAGGAACCTAAGGATGACATAATCTTGTTGAAATGTTGTACATTTATAATAAAGTTTTCTTCATTACCCAGTCAAGCCATCACCAAATGTGAGTTCTTCATCCTCAAATAATAGCAATATTTCAATTACTTGAACAGTTGGAATAATCAAAAACAAATTTTAATTACTTGATTATTTTATGTGACATTAATCAAAGTAATTGATGCTCATGAGAAATTGATTAATCCTCCAGGACTAATATTTATTTGAGCTGAGTTAAGCACTAGGAAAGCAATCTCAGAGGTTGTGCTAACTCTTCATGAAGGGAACAGTTGCCTCACAGGAAGTATAAGAGAGTTCCTTTACAGATGTTAACAGTGGTCTTCTGGCTGTGTATATATATATATACTGTCCTATTGTTTCTCATCTTCTCTCTTTCCTAGTTACACTCTATGGTACTTTGTTTTTGAACAGTCTTATTCCTTCTGAATGTCAATCTTACTCAACTGTCACTTTCACCCTACTAGTGCAGATGAGGATCATATCCTACCAGTAAAACTGTGTTGGATTTGATAAACACAACTTTTCTTACACACTTGTTAGCTTCCTCATTTAGCTTTACTGCTACATGGTTTGGCACATACATCCTGATGATGGTCATACCATAAAGCTGATTTGCTTCCTCCAATCCATCTGGAGACTATCCTCTTACTATTTGGGAGTCAGCTACAGATATTATGTTGGTGGCATTTTTTATTTGTAATTCTTTGCTTTATGCAATCCAGAGGATAGCTTGTTTTATAGCTTCAAGCTCTATCATTTTGCTGCTTGTGGAAAGTGGGAATGCCCAACCAACTCTCTCACCATTTTTAGGAACCTCCAGAACCACCTGTAGCTATAATTACAAGTGACTGTCCACTCCGGTCTTTTAAGTAGGTGCTTATAGGATTTTTCTGCTTTACCCTCTGTCAAATCTCTATATTTGTTGTCTAGGCTGATTTACATAAATCGTGGTGGAACCAGATATTTATTCCTGGTAGTGACAAGTGGCTATACAGCAACTATTCATCTGTGAATGTCTCCTGAGATGCATTTTAGGCAATCCTCTGCTTGGTTGCTATCTTCAAGGTTGTTGTGGAGCTTGAATGTTTCAGTTGAAAAGGGCAGTGATTTGAAGGTGAAATGCATGGTCTGTACATTGTAAGGCCCAAGTGAATAATTTTGCTTGTAAGAGCTGTTGGTATTCTACAATGCTGCTGAGGATTGTGAGGTGAAAGAGAGCTTTGATGGAAGTGGCTAAAGTATACCAGTCTTAAACAACTGTTTTGTATCTTTTGTAACCCTCATACTGATCATTGGTAAAGCTGAGAAATTAAGTTGATATCAGTAAGTGTCAGGTAATAAAATTGATTAATAAAATTTATAATTGAATCAATTAATATCATAAAAATAACTAATGAATATTAGTGCTTCTGATTATTACTATTTTCAGTTATCCTAACTATCCAAGTCTCATGTGAGAATAATAAATTAGTTGTGCAAAACTAACTAATGAACCTGATGATTAATTAATTAGCAAATTCCACAAACCACCCAGCTTTAATCACCAGTAATGCACAATCCAGGATGAAGCAGGTACGATTTTGATACAACATAAGCAAGCAATATTCTTCAGCTCCATTTCCTGCTGCAACTTTCAATGCAATGATGCCTTTGGTAGCACTGGTTATCATGGTGTTAATATGGTTAGTGAACAGGTGAAAGGTTACACCCATTAGGTACTTCAGTGTTTTTTTTCAATGGGAGATCAAGATAATGGTTTGTCATCCTCACCATGTCTGTTGTTCAGTGTGCAGAACATGGTTGTGAGTTTGGTAGTTTTGATGACATTTCCTGAGCCACTGCACCATTTAGTCATCCAATTAAGGAGTGGTTGCATCTTTTCAATTTCAGCTTTGTTAGAGCCACTATTGTACACCATAATGTTGTCAGCAAAGGATAGGGCATGGCATCTGGTTCAACTGTCAAGGTGTATATGTTGAAGAGTACAGATTAGAGTAGTAATCCTTGAGGCAGGACAGTGTTGCTGGTGACTAGTCTGATTACCAGCTTCCATGCTTCGTGATGCAGGCTAATCTGTGGTAATGAGTGTCATGTATTTAGGGTACAGACATTTGGAAATGATTCATGTTTTCAAGTGATATTAGTGTTATGGAGAGTGAAAAGGATTTGAGTGTGAAGAAAGCCTCAATTCTTCATCTGAATGATTGCAAGTGGAGAGAAAAGCAAATAACATTCTGTGAACTATTTACAGAAATTCAGTTAAAGAATACGAGGGTTATCATTAAAAAAAAAAGAAAAACTGTGGCAAAGCCTCATCTGAAGTATTGTTTTAATATGATAGAAAGTGATATTCACTTGAAAAGTTCTGAGACAGGCTATCAAAGACAGAGAAAGACTAAAACACTTGAAAATATTTTCTCTGGATCACAGAACTAGAGATGGCCCTATTCAGGTTTTTAAAATCAACATACTTGAATTGTTCACCCCTGGGAAATTTGTTGGAGTTGAATGGTGAGGGTTGGGAATGAAATTCTACATATTAGAGGAATTGATATAGCCATGGAAGCCTAGGTCCAGGCTGGTTATCAGGCAGCTTTTTTTTTTTTAACTGTTAAGAGTTATAATGCATGTAATGATTCTATCAGATGGTGCTGGTAGTTTGTTGCATTATTTTATAGATGTAAGGGATTATAGTTAACTTGGCCTGATTTTGTGACCTCAATGGGTTGAATGGCCTACTATTACCCAATCCTGGATTCTTATGTACAAATAAAACAATGTATTTTAATTTCACCTAAAAATATGAGGGAAATGAATAACAAACTGAGAGTTTATTCTAAGAATAATGCAGTAGCATTCAGTACTGGGTTTTTATGTACTTGTTACAGGATAACAAAGACATTTGGTTATATCAGTTATCATGGCTTTTACACAACAAAATATCACTTAGCTCCGAGACTGAAAAAAAGCATTGAACTAAATTTTATCATTATTTACTTTATTCAGTAAGTATACAATTTAATTCATATTCAATTTATATCACTAAAATCATGAAATTAATATACTAGGTACATATTACAACTAGTAATTCAGTTCTGGTTAAACAGAAGTAATTTTCTTTCTGTTTATACATAACTTTAATAACTGAAGTATAAAAAACTTGGAAGTCACTCCATTCTATCTGTTTCACACAAGAATAACTTATACTGAGTTAAAATTAAACACATTGCATTCAAATTAACACCACCAACTAATTTTATCTCAATGTTTGTTTGGTCACCATCTGAAAACTAAAGATACAATAATATAGTTTTAAATACAAGTATAGACCCAGTTTAATACTTATGATTATAAGTACCACTACCAGAATTTATACATAATCAAACTGGACAACAACTCACAAGAACATTGGGAACTTCTTGTATAATACTAGAATAAAATCACAATGGCCTTATGTTACAGTTTACTACTGAGAATTAGCTACTCCACAAAAATATATCCCACACCAAGCTTACCAAAAATATTTCAAATTCTTATAGTTTGTGTGTTTAGAAAGATATGTATAATAAAATAATGATAAAATTAATTAAATGTTCAGGCATTTTTAGTTTCCTTACTCAACAGCAATGGTTTAATTTTAAACTAAAAGCAAAGAACATATTCTTTATTATTACTAGCAGAGTTACCTGGCGTTGCCCGGGTTTTCGAAAAAAACCTACTCTCTCCGTTTCTCCGTCCCATATTTCGATGGGTAAAAAATATTTTGTGAATTTATGAAAAACAACCTTTGGGTTGATTTTAGAAAATAAACTACGCACCTGTTTTAAATCAGGGCTTCCTTATGAACGATGTTTTTGTTTTTCCTTCACTTATAAGGATAAATACTTTAGAATAGGCCCTTATGAAGAATACTTAGAATATCTTATACTATCGTTTTGGCGAACAGGATGAGTCTAGCTCTACTCCCCCATCCCCAGTCATCCCTTCTCAAATATTAAAATTTCAAACGTAAATATGTATGTAATATTATGTTCAACTTGCTTTAATGTAAATTTAATATATTATTTTTATGAATGTGATACCGTATTCACACTATGACATTGATTTGATGTATGAAATATACTACAAACAAAATGCAATATTGTACTTTATCTTTCATTCCTGCCCTTAATGGGCGGAAGAAAGAGAAAGAGGTACAATGTTTATGTACTGTTAATAACATCTCTTATCCAAAAGCCTGGAAGTTGTTGTCCCCTTTTCCACCTTAGACATATGCTGCTGCACTCCATTCCACTACTATAGTGGGAG